AATATGTTTTTTTCTCTGTCTACTTTCAAGATTTCTTTTTGTCTTTTGTTTTCTGCAATTTGAGTATGATATGCCTAGGGGTATGTGGTGTGTGCGTGTGTACAGTATATATGTATGTAATAACCTGCTAGGTGTTCTATAAGTTTCTTGGATCTTGGTTTCTGTCATTAATTTTGGAAAATTTTCAACTGTTTTCCCTTCTGCTCTGTTCTCATTCTTTGGTCTTTCAATTACTTGTGTACTAGTATGTAAGATATTGTCCCAAACTGGCAGATGTTACAGTTTGTTATTTTTCTCACTCTTTCATTTCTTTATTTTTTAGTTTGAGTAACTTCTATTGATCTATTTCAAGCTCATGAATTCTCTTCTTGGCTATGTCAGTTGACTGATGAGCCCATTGAAGGCATTTTGCTTCTATTTTTTCTATTTCTAGTATTTCCACTTGATTCTGTTTTAGTTTTTCCATATCTCTACTGAAATTATCCATCTGCTCTTGCATGATGTTCAGTATTTCCTTTTGCACATTTAACATACTAATCATAGTTATTTTAAATTCCCTACTAGATATTTCCAACATCCGTTTCAAATCTGATTCTGGTTCTAATGACTGCTTTGTTTTATGGGAATGCTTTCTTTCTTTTATTTATTTATTTTATATGCTTCATAGATTTTTGTTGAAAACTGGACATCTTGAGTATGTCAGCAGAGACTGAGATAAAGTGTTTTTATGCCTGTTATAAGCATGCCTTTCCTGCTGATAAACAGCATGGGTGTTTGGATTAGGAGTAGGGCTGGATTTGAGGTTCCCTGTTGCTGTTTTTATCCTCAGTACATTTCAGGCCTTACTTTCTTGTATAGCAGTATCTTGTGTTTAGGATGTAACCGGATTTTCTAGAGCAATGTCTGCGATCTTGAGCTTTAGGTTTCCTCGGCTGTGTCTCAGGGAGGGTCTCTGTGCTCTGCTGTTACTTGTTATCTGAAGCGTGATAGCTTGGTAGGGAAGATTGGGAGAGTTTCTGTTGTTCTGACTCAGCCTTCACTTTAGATAGGCACTGTGTCCTTGGCTATCAGGAGCTTGGTCTTCCCAATTCTCTGGGCTGTTCCCTGTCGGCAGCTGTTGGTGCAGCATGCGTTCTTGCCTCTCCCTCAGAAATAGGGATTTTTTTTTTCCTATTCTCATCCCCTAACTGCAATGAGTTTCCACCAGTGCCCAAAGAGAAGTAGATTTTTTTCTGCCATTCCTTTGCCTGATTGAGGCTTTTGTTCCATAGGTCATACAGGGAGGTAGGGTCCTAGCAGAGTTTCTCTTCCCACATGGTTGCCTTTCTCTCCCCCATGTTTGCATCATAACAGATACTTTCTCGGAGCTCTTTCTGGTCTTTTCTATGGGTGCCCAGAGGAGTTTAGAAAGAAAAGGCCTGCAAAAGGGTGTGGGCTTCCATGGTTTCTGTGGCCCTCAGGGCTTCTCATTGTCCCATCAGGTTACACTCATCATTCACAAATTCATCAATTGTTCCAGTTAAACTCTTCTACCCCAGGTAAGTGAGCACTTGTGATTACACAGATGTCTGTTTCTCCTCATATTTTGGTTGTGCTGCAACCTTAGCTCACCAATGGCTTCCCTAAAATGATGATTTTTAAGTTAACTCAGCTCTTTTTCATTGTTTGGCTGAGAGTATGTTCCTTCCAGCTCTATCTAGGAAGAGAGGCTGTACATTCATAAAGTCATTCAATTTTCCTGAGCTTCAGTTTCCTCCTCAGCAGAATGATGATGCCTTTTGCCCCAGATTGTTATCAGAATCAATTGATTACGGTGCACACGGAAATTCTTTGTGATGTATAAAAGCTTATGCCAGGTCAAGTGTTGTTCTCATTAGATCATCATTATCAACAAGACACAATAATTTCTGGAACTTGAGATGACAAGCTCCTAAAAAGAGGTTCTCAACCCTGGCCATACATCAAAGTCACAATGTGATTATAAAGGTCAAACTATTATTCCTGTAAATGGATACATCTTAAAAACCATAAAATCCTAGCAATAGACAAGATAATATTACAGCTTTTCCAAAACACTTTACTATGTCAAGTTGTTTGGTTGTTTCTGCTCTCACTGAAATGAAAAGACTCAGTGGAACAGAAATGAAGGGCTTGATGTCTTTTGGTCTCATAAAAATCATCACCAAGAGCGATACATTTAACAATCAAGACTCACTAAGGAAGCACAGGGTGACAAGTGCTGGGTATCAGGTGGAAGAACAAAACACGATCCTTCACTACTGGGTATAACATATACCCCCACCCACTCCCCCAGCACATGGACCACCAGCGCCCACTGCCTGTGCAGCTCCTGAGCAGCCACAAAGCCCTGCCCTGAGCAGCACCTCATCTCATCTGATGCTGCTACCATTTCCACATCACAGGTACGGAGGGACCAAGAACTGTGCTTCACCACGGGCTCAGTCAACCTCAGAACTTGGCTGCACTTTGTTACTTTTACGTGGCCTCCAATGTGGAATCATTTGGGTGGAACACAAGCTGACTGTAGGGGCCCTCAGGCTTAGAACGAATTAACATCAAATCACACACTGAGGAAGAAACTCCTCTTCCAATTCTCTTCCAGTCCTTTCGGTTACATCATGAAGAAAGTCTCCAGTGCCGGTGTGTCTTTAACACCTCCCTGACACTTGCCAATCTCCATCTTTAACCGAGAGAAAATGTCTTAGGATTAGAGCCTTTACCAGGATACAGGTTCTGGCTAGAATTTAATAACATAGTTTTACCTTCATTTCTTGATTTTTACAATGACTGTATTTTCTATTTATGGCAAGAGATGCCAGTCCTCCCTTTAGTTAGTGAGACAAAGTTCCTTTTTAAAACAAAGCTAATTAAAATGGACTTGATTAAATATTAAGAAGGTACTATTTAAGGAAGTATGGAGATATGGCAAAACTTATGCAAGGGGTGTGGGGAGATGGTCATTTGAGAAAGTCCTGTGCCTGGGCTTTGAAGCCCCTAAATTAAGGGCCAGTTCACACAGAGAACTCAAGACAGCCCTGCTGTGAGCCCTGTCACAGAGGAAGCCTGAAAGCTTCATGGATGTTGAGTCAGTGGGTCCCTTTATCACTCAGGGGCACCTCTGAGGTCCTAAACAAGAGCACCCCAGGCAAACCTCAACACCTTCTGCAAACAGCCACTCTCCTCTTGGTCAGCAAACTGCCAGGGTGGCAGAACATGGTTTCTTATAGGGAGACCACATAGTGTCCAGAGAGTGCAATAGTGAGAACTGGTGAGGAGGCTGGAGACATGCCAAGTGGGGGCAAAGGTGACAAGAGAAAAATAGCTGTAAATGTTTCTACTCTAGTGAAGATGTGAGGACCCCGTGGAAACATGACGAAAACCATGAAGTTCACTACCCAGGAAAGTGCTTGTTTACACACGTGTGTGTCTCTTCTCACATCATGTGTGTATGCATAACAATATTAGGGGATTTGTGGGCTCCAGGTTTTGAACTCCAGCTTTGATATCACTGTCTAGAAATTCACTAGTTGACCAATTCATGCCTATGGGTATGACTTAATTAAATAAAGATTCCTAGATTTGCAATTTTTTTTGGCATGTCTTACTCCCATCCATTCACTTACCCTCCCTCCCTCCCTCTATCCTAAAAGCACTACACTTCTCTCTTTACACTGGTTCTCAAATGTTTCCACCAGGGAACGGCCAATCCAGTTGGCAATGGCCAACCCATTCCAAGACAGAGAGGACTCGGGCAACTTATTGTAAGTTCAATTTTTTTTTTCATGTTTAGCTTTAAAGCTTATGCCAGTTTTGGAACCTACTTAAATAGAGCCGTGTGTTTTCACATAACATCTCTTTGCAAAATCATTTAGTAAAACTGACCCTCTAAGATGTGCCTTGCTTAACCGATGTTCCCTGACTTCCTGGCACAGCTCCAAGGTCTCTAGGGACCTGGACTGGAGAAGCAAGGACCTGCTTTGTGCCAGGCCCCTGAACCAGGAATGTGGAGATCAAGAAATCCCCAGGGACAAGACCCAGCTCCTCTCCCCATCTCTAACGTCTAGTGCAGGGCAGAGCCTCTGGGGAGCTCGGTTTGTGATCAGAGCTTCCTAATAAGGATTTTGCAGTAGCTCCAGGATGCTCCCCTTTAAGAATGTTACAAGGTAACAGTGGAAGATCCTTAACGGGAGCCACACAGCCCTGGAGTTCAAAACCCAGTACTACTATTAGACTTCTGCCTTTGGATACTTCTGGCATGGCAGAGAAAATATTTGGGTTTGCCCCCTGAAGAAAAGACAACTTAGCCTGAAGAGGGAGCTGTTGAGGCAGTGTCCTGAAGCTGTGGGCCAGGAGCCTGACTGCCCCTTCAGGAGCTCTGATCCTCCTCCTTGCCGTGCACCATCAGCCCTAAGAGCTCACACAAGGAGCAAGCCCTTCATGCCTGTTTCATTGTATAAAAAACAAGACAGTTGGATACAACGGTTCCAAAGAGACCTCCCAGCTCTGATGCTTTCTCTTAACATTTCAGTTTCACCAGGCAAAGGTTTTCTGCCTTATCTTCTTTCTTGTGACTGTCTGACCTCATTTCTGAAAGTGCTGTATGCATGCCACTGTTTGCTTATAAAACAATAGCTATTTCTTTTTAACTTTGCTCTCAAACCCGAGAATGTTCTCTCCTGCATATCTGAAGAAGATCCACAGACCCTGCTACTAGCATGAACATTTTAAACTGCTTGGGAGTTCATGTAACCAGACCTGGTACCCTTCCAGAAGGCAGAACTGAAACAGATTAGACAAGAAGCCAAATTTCACTTTTTGGCTTAGAATGTTTCTCCAGCCAAGAATCTGAGATGATGCTCATATCCCTAAAGGTTAATTTCCTGTTTCCTTTTTCTCTGAGCACAATAAATGCCTATTTCATTAGGTACTCCCCCTGTCCATAATGAGCACTCATGTAATCTTAGTTAATAAAATGAGGATTTATTCAACTTTCAGTTCTAATAAATAGCCATTATCTTTGCAGTGGGCTCCAAGCCCTGGTAAAAATGAAATAGTCTCTGTGATTGTTCAGCGGGAAAATGTTAAGTTGTCTCCTTTAGTTACAAAAGTGTATTTCGCCACACTGTGCTGTAGTTTAAAGGCCTGAAACTGAATTTAGGTTCCACAGACACCTCATTCTGGCATTAAGATCTTAAAAATAAAGGCAAGGAAACACAAAGAGCAGAGAAGCGGGTATAAGAAGAGGGGTTTTCCTATGCATGGCATTATGGACAAATCTGCTTTGAAGAAAGCCCCGAGCCCAGACACTTATTCAAAATCCCTCGCCCCCCGTTTTTGAAAGGACAGGGAGAGGCGGTGCATTCAGCCATTTAGAGTTGCAGGGGGAAATTAGGGTCTCCAGGATTCTGATTTCCAAATGAAGAACAGATCAGCAGGAAATCAAGCCTTACCTAAACCTTTCTTCCTTCAGGCAGTTACAACCCTGGGACAAGATGAGTACAGAAACAATGCAATGTCTTAGGCTACTTTTGTGAGTCATTTTTAAGACTTTAAGGAGGAAGGCTGTGAGGCTTCAGGTTCCCACAGCCTGGGAAGACGGCCGTTCGTTGGAACTGGGCTTGAAGAGGCAGAGAGGAGCTCCCGAGTGAAGCCAGCCCCACACAGGGGGGAGCCAGATGTCAGTCCCCTCGGCCTCCGGGCCCCCTGGCCACTCCCTGCTCCTACCTGTCCTCACTGGTCTCTGCCAACCTGTTATTCATTATGGCCAAGGCCCCCACGCCCCCTGAGAATTCACTGTCCCTGCACAGCGTGCTGGCCTGGTGGGGGCAGCCGTTGGCTGTTTCAGACAGCTGCTCCTGTTGGATGGCTAGTGACACCTTGCTGGCCGCCAAGAAGTCCTTCACAGAGATCATCTCCCCCGAGAGACGCCGCCCGTCCGCGTCGCTCTCCGTCACCCTATCTGCTTCTATGGAGATGCTGCACTGGTTCTGGACGTGGCCCGGCATCACCACGTTCCTCCGCGACCGCAACAGTCTCCTCTGGCATTGCGGACGGCACCCACCGCCCATCTTCCTCAGCATCCAGTTCACAGACTGTTTGATGAGGACGGAGATGACGTTGAACAAGGAGTAGATGCAGCAGACGCCCATGAGAATGAAGGCGAAGTTGGCGAAGCGGTAGAGGCCTTGGCTGTTGTACTGGGCGTTCTGGCTGCTGACCAGGTCCCCGAAACCAATGGTGCTGAAAGCCACGAAGCAGAAGTAGAGCGCGTCGAAGTAGCTCCAGCCCTCGATGGAGGCGTACATGGCGGAGGCGCAGCAGGAGATGAGCAGGGAGGCCGTGCACAGGATCAGCATGACGTAGTACACGGAGGGCTTCCAGCCAGCCGGGCCGCCCACCTCGTGCTTCCCCGGGTTCTTCGGGCTCTCCGGGGCCAGGGCCCCTTGTCTCCGGAGCTGCCGCTGGTGGCACAGTCTCATGACATGGGCGATGACAGTGATCAGGCGCTCCAGAAAGAGGTTGAAGAACAAGATGGTGCTTGCACACCCAATGAGGCCATAAAAGATCAGAAAGATTTTTCCTCCTACTGTTGCTGGAGTTGTCATCCCAAACCCTGTAGGAGACAAAAATCAGAGGAGACAAGAATGAGGGAGGTCTTTGCTGTGAATGGGCTCTAGATTGTGGTTTCAATGGTGGGCAAAGGACCTGAAGAAATGGTTCCATAAATGCACCCAGTCCTAGCCTTGGTAGGAATGAGAGAATTCTCACTTCCTTTTGAAGATGCCAAGTGTTGTTCAGAGCTTTGCTGCTGAAAACCACTATCGTGCAAATCATAAGGTACCTCTTCCTCCAGGGGAACCCAGGTTGCGGCAAACGGCTAGGTGATGAGAAGGTGGGCTGGGTTCCAGCCTCCCCTGCTGACTGCTGGATGCCCTGTACAGTACCCGAGCCCACAACCCCACTCAACAGACATTTTTCACACCAAGGCTCATACAAAGAAAGGGCTTATACAGACTCACTGGAATTCAGTTCTCCTATAAACACATGCAGAAGAGTGCCCTTCCAGAAGCATGGACAGAACTGGAGAAAGGACAGATGTGGTCCCTGCCCTCACGGAGCTCTAGTCTAGGGAGGTAATTGTGACATTATGCGGCAAGTGTTGTGGAGGAGGTACAGGAGCAGCAAAGAGGGGAGCCCATCTCCGACCTGGGGATCTGGGAACAGGCGTGTGTTGGTGACGGGGATGTTTCAGGCAGAGAAACAGTGGGTACCAGCATAAATAGAAATGAGAAATTTGCTCAAGATTTTCCTATCTTTTCAACAAAATTCTTCAAATACACACCTCCTGCTTTGGGAGTGAAAGTGGAGGTGTTGGTTGTGACAGATTGATAAAATAGTAAATGTCTCTCTTGCTTTTGCCTCTTATTGCTCAAAATTGCCACTTTTTAACCTTTCTACCCATGCACACAGACATGTTACTAAGAATGCCATTTGTAGGACAATGGATGTTGATGAGAAAAAGGAGAAATAGAACAGCATAGTGATACACAGTATTTTTCACTAAGGGGCACACAGGGCTGGCCAGCCCACCCTGAGGGACGTGATGAGCTCCTTCCAAGCAAATGATTCAGTGACCTGAGACGGGTGATTTGTTTGAGGGCATGGGTATCAAAGCCACTCTGAATAAACACCACTCAAAAAATAAGTACTGATGAGCAGGCCTCTCTGGGTTCAGTTTTTTATGCCAGTAAAACCTTCTTGTTTCCTTTTACTTTATTTTCAAGTTTAGTTTCCTAACTTGGGCCCTATTATTGGAATCTCAAGGGCTCACCCATCATCCTCTTTGCTGATAACACCTTACTTGTCTCCAAGCCCACATCTTTCTCTGTTGCCACAGCTCAGCTGCTGGCTGCCTCCCAGATCACCCTTGGAGGTGGTCAGATCAGACCTTGAGGTGGGTAGGCTTCTGGGATTACGACCTGCTCTCTCCTCAGGTAGAGCCAAGGGGCAACCTTTCCTAAACACCCTGGATACATACTGTGTTGCCATTTAGTTTTCCAATCAAGTTTTCCCTTCTCAGCACACAGGGTCTATGTTAGGGCAGGAAATTAACATCGTATAACCAACAGACTAGAGGGAGACAGTGAATTCAGCTTTTCAGCTGGATGACACAGGCTGATTCAGTAAAGAAGGAGCCGGCACGAGGGAATAACTTCACTGGGAGTTACATCTACGGCCCTTAATGGTACAAAGTAAATCAGACCCTCATCTCTTCTATGGAAACTCTTATTTTCAAAATTAAAGGCCCTCAGCAATTCTTGGCAGAGCAGGTCTCCTTTACTGGATATCTTCATTATGTAAAGAACTTGTCTTTGCTGTGTTTTCTCTTGTTAATATCCTTAATTCTTATCCCTAATCTCAAATTGGAATGACATGGTTGAAGCAGTGGAGATTAAAGAAAAAACGTACTGAGTTTAATGACTGAGTTAAGAGCAATGCCTTGTTCTCCCCAGTCCAGAGGAAAAGGGGGTAACCAAGGTGTCAGGAAATGAGTTTCTGGCTATTTAAGGATGTTGGCGCATGTCCTCTGGCTTGGTGAACTCCTGAAACAGCAGATCCGGGGACCGCGTCTGCACCGTGAAGACAGGAAAATGAAAGTTGGAGCCCCTGCCCCAAAGCTGTAAGGCCAGGAGTACTGCCGCTCTCTTCGTTGGAAACAACTGAGGCAGCAAGCAGAAAAAAGGAGAAACACTTATCTGGGATTGATTATTGACCGGACAATATTCCAGAAACTGGATAAAGTCACTGAAAACAGGGAAGGCCCAGAAATAGTAGAAGGTGTGTGTGGTGGGGGTAGGCGCTTGCCAACAATCAGAAGAGAACTTTCTCATGTAGCACAAGATTCAAACAGGCAAATGTTTCCTTTTCCAAAATCTTCCCTCTGATCCCAGAAGTCACTTCATTATTTTACTCCTGGAGAACAGCAGCAGCAGTCAGAAGGAGCTCTCAGCCAAAGGTAACAGCAATAATTTACTGAGCACCTGTTAAGTTCATGGGACTTGTCTTGCCAATGGGTTTCAGCTCTGGGCAAGCTCACTATGGATTCAATGTGACCAAAGAAATGACAGTAGAACATTCTTGGGTTGAAAGGGTTATACCCAACTTTATTTCCACGGTGGCAGGTCAGTCACTAGAATCTCGTCCACTCAGAGCGAGTCTGCGTGCAGCAAGCCGGTCTCTGCCTCTGGGTCCCTCTGTCCCCACAGCTGTCTCAGTCTCTGTCCTCGGCACTGCCACCACTCCAGCCTCGGCTCTCTTGCAGCCATGCCACCATGTCGCTCAGAGCCCTGGGCGGAGCTCTTTATATAGAGTCAAGAGCAACGCATTGCCCACACATATGTAGTGAGCTAGCTGACCAGGGCCAGGTGAGAATTCTGGCCACAGGAACCTTCATTTTCTCCACAGGACTGCACTAGGCATTTGGCCACACAATGGTGACCTGGACAGGGTAAGGTCCTTGACCTTAAGGAGGCCAGTGTTCAGGCTGGGACAGAGAAGCTGCTTACCTACAAAACAAGGTATAGTGAGCCACGGACCAAAACAAAGGCCCAATGGAGTTGCCCTGGCTTCAGGGTCCCAGCTGCAGCCTCCCTCGAGGGGAGTGACTCGCACACACAGGTGCACTGCTGAAGCCAGCCGACAAGCTTGATAAGCTGCTTTTTCCAAAGAATGAGACTACTAGTGATTTTATGACATGTTCCTGGGATGTAAAATATCTAGATTCTATCTTATTCATATGGTTCTATTAGAGAAAGGATATGCTGTAACCTTTAATTGATCACTGCCATCTTTTCAATCAGCAAAACTAAGAGAAAATAGTGGTGTCCGTGGAGACAGTGGGAGACAGCCTCCTCGTGTGTGCCCTGGAGGTGTGCCCATAGCCGTTCCTACCCCCGGAGCTTAAGGCAGTGTAAGCTGACAACGCAGGCTTCTTCCTAGAAAGCCTCCTCCTTTGTGAGCCTAATAGCACTGAGCACTAAGGACGTGCTGGACTGGGAATAATAAGCCTCAGGGTCCTACTTGGCGGAGGAAAAGGACGCAGGCTTTATCCAAGGCCTACCGCCTACCACCCATCACTGACTCCTCAGGCCTGTTCTGAGGGGCTGGGTGTTCATTACTAGTCCCATTTCACGGGTGAGAGGACTACAAAAACTAAGCAACTTACTGAAGCTGTAAAGCCAGAATTATAACCTATATTAGTTTTGTCTCCCAGGCCTTTCCAGCCGACTACTAAGGGAGGGCAAGCCACTGCCCAGTGTACTCACCAGAGGGAGAATGGAGGGAGGGCAATGAACCCCGTGTCTATAGTGCCGTGCTTTGCATAGACGCCCAGACCCTAAATCTGCCGATCTGGAACTAAAATCAGGGGACTGGCTGGCAGCAGAAACCGAAACCCTACAATTTTCATTTACTAAAACACACGTTTCTGAATGTATGCACGCCTCTTCCAACAAGCAATGTAATTAAATCTGCTTAAAAAACCTGTTTCACCCCATGCATTTCAGTCTCCGTGTATTTCACAGGCACACAGATGAAACTGCTTGTCAACGTGGTGCTTTTCGATAAACGTGGTGCTTTTCGATACATGATTTTTTCCCTGTGCTTAAAAAACCTGTTTCACCCCATGCATTTCAGTCTCCGTGTATTTCACAGGCACACAGATGAAACTGCTTGTCAACGTGGTGCTTTTCGATAAACGTGGTGCTTTTCGATACATGGTTTTTTCCCTGTGCTGCAAGCCCAAGGTCTTCTGATTTGTGTGCATTCCCTGATCTGGGAGATGAGCTGGCTGACTGGGGGCTGGGGACTAGGGAAGACCTGGCAGTCTACTTTAGTCCAGTGTCTTTAAACCATTTCAGATCTGTTTTAATGTGACTGTAATGCCTCAGGCAGCTTCTGGGACCAAGCCAGGTTCCTTGGTGTCCCTGGGGCCAGAATGAAGCAACCAGGGGTCCCGTTCAACCCCAACAGAGCCCTTCATTCAGATATGAAGAGAGGAAAGCGGGCCAGCAGTCTCCCAGCCTTTTAGCACATGCTATCGACTACATATTCTTCTAAAACATTTAGTAGTAAAAAATTGAAAAGCTTTGCCTATATTTTTCAAACCACAAAGGTAGGGAGGATAAACCCTCATTTCCTAGTTCAGCAACTGTCAACATTTTGCCAATCATGTTTCTCCTATCCCACCCCAGCCCCCTTATTTGGGGGAGTATTTTAAAGTAAATCCCAGACATCATGCCATTTCATCCATTAATAATAATGTATCTGTAACTGACAAGGATTTTATTTCATCAGCCTAACCACATGCCACTATCATACCTGCCAAAATTAACACTAATTCCTTAAAACCAAATACTACCCAGTCCATATTCAAGTTTCTAAAAAACATCTTTTTACAGACCATCTGTATGAGTCAGGATCCTCACAAAGTCCATGCATTATATCTTTTAAGTCTCTTTTATTGAACTCTTTCCCCTCTAATTGTTTATGCCTTTGATTTGTTGGGTAATGTGACTTGCAGACTTGAATCACAATTTTCTTCTAGAAACATTT